TTTGGTATCTGGTGGAAGAACTGCTCTTTATGATTGTGGCAGTGTACATTTAAACTCTTGTTAATACTCTACATCACCGGAATGTTGTTTTGACATCCTTATTGTAGGATGAACCAAGTCAAGATGAGAGTTTTTTTTTTTTTTTTTTTTTTTTAAATGAGGGGAGGGGGTCAGGCTGGTCTTGAACTCCCGACCTCAGGTGATCTGCCCGCCTTGGCCTCCAAAGTGCTTGAATTACAAGCGTGAGCCACCACACCTGGCCTTTTTTTTTTTTTTTTTTTTAAGGATGAGAATATTAAAATGAACTTCTGTGCCTGGTAATTAGCAAAATAATCTCCTATAAGCAAGTTGCTGCTTGTGAGTAATGGGAGCAGTGCTGACCTGGGCATGTTCCATTTAAGGCAACCTCCTGTAGTCAGGCAAGGATTTTAGAGATACATAGAACTAGTCCTGGGGAAGAGGTAGAGAAGCTGTCAGGTGATGTTGCCTACTTTATTCTGCCGTGCTTTTCAGTTTTCAAGCTTGGGTTGTAAACTCATCCCTCACTGTAACCTCTTCTGCTCGGTATCTTCTCTTTCTAACAGACATCAGACTGCGGGTTCGGGCTGAGTACTGCCAGCATGAGACTGCTCTGCAGGGCAACGTCTTCTCTAACAAGCAGGACCCACTTGAGCGCCAGTTTGAGCGCTTTAACCAGGCCAACACCATCCTCAAGTCCCGGGACCTGGGCTCCATCATCTGTGACATCAAGTTCTCTGAGCTCACCTACCTCGACGCATTCTGGCGCGACTACATCAATGGCTCTTTATTAGAGGCACTTAAAGGTGTCTTCATCACAGACTCCCTCAAGCAAGCTGTGGGCCATGAAGCCATCAAGCTGCTGGTAAATGTAGATGAGGAGGACTATGAGCTGGGCCGACAGAAACTCCTGAGGAACTTGATGCTGCAAGCATTGCCCTGACCTTTTCCCTCTTCTCACTTCTTTGGGGAGTGTTCCCATCACCCACCTCTGGAGCTTACACTGTTCTGGGGTTTGTTCTCTACCCTTCCAACCAATGACACCCCTGCCTTTTTTTTTTTTTTTTTTTTTTTTAAAGAAAAAGACAAAGGAAAGTGGAAGTGGTGTTCCCCACCCCTCCCTGCACCCATGTGCCTGGGCTTCCCCTTTGTTTCCCTTTTCCATTTACCCCTCAACGTGTGTCTCTACAGCTACCTTACCACTGAGCCGTAAGACAAATGTATAGGGAGAAACAAAGTCTACAGAACACAGTCTTTGTAAGGGATTGATGTGAACACTGCTTTTGGGTGCACTAAGGGGTTATCAATACTTCTGGCTTTATGAGAGCTCTTAAATTTTGTCTAAAAAAAAAAACCAAAGGGCTGTGAGTAAGGGAGCTATATGGAAGGTGGGACTCTGAAGTGTATTTTGAAAATTAATCGCCACCCTCTTCCAAATTATAGAATTTTTTTAAAACAAAGAAGCTGTGGCCCTTTCCACTCTCTCCTGGCCTCTGGTGCTGCTCCTCTCTGCCTTCTTTCCTCCATTCCATGGCTGAAACCTCTGCCTGATGTGGCTCTTTCCTTTTTTGCATTTCTCAAACCCTCTTCAAGGGAGGAATAGATAAGAGGACTGGATCAGCCTAGTCACGCCTCCCAACTGTGGTGGCGTATGTGTATGCACATACACAGGGTGGATGGAGAAGAGGTTGCTGATTAAAATGCACTCCCCCTGTAAAGGGGAAGGGGGAGTGTGACACTTTCTATGTTCAAGTGAAAATAAATAATGTACCCTGCAGCCCTTTTCCCCTTTGCTTTCTTCTGGCCTGGGCAAAGGGCATCATAGGTGAAAGTGAAGTAATTCCTTTTTCCTTCCCCTCCACTCCTGTGCTCACTCCCATGCTTGGGAGAATGGGGCTGGGACATGCACTGAGTGTTGCACTTTTATTTAGGTAGGGAGGCATGTTGAATGAGCCAGGAGGTCTAGAACTGGAGCCCAGTCCAGCTACTACAATACCAACTCCCCTTGTAGCTCCCAAAGGAGATGTCCGGACACAGACTTTATGATGATTATATTTTTCAATGCCAGTGCTGCTCAGCCCTCAGCATAACTTCAGTTTTCATGAAATAAACAATGACTATATAAAATGCCACCTTTCTGAAACTGCAGTCTGACCTCAGGTGAAAGCTTCTTTCCCAAGAAGCCAAGCCTGTGTTCCATCAAGAAAGTCACGGTTCTCCAATTGAGGGGAGCTGTGCCTGGGTCCTGCCTCCAAGTCACATGAACACTGGCTCACAATGGGGGGTGGGTCTCAACTTAGAAGTCGAGTCTTAAGACAGTGGGTGACCCAGATTACCATAGAGGTCAGGCCTGCGGTGCTGGAACACAGGCAGGTGTTGGCGCAACTGTCGTAGATAGTTGAGGTCAATTCGGGCAAGGCAGAGCCCTGGGCCTTCAGAGCAGCGGGCCACCACCGTTCCCCAGGGGTCTACCACCATGCTGTGGCCATAACTTGCTCGTTTCTCATGGTGGCGTCCGCACTGTGCTGCTGCCACTACATAGCACTGGGTTTCAATGGCACGGGCCCGCAGCAACACCTGGGGATGAGATGTGTGTTCAGTTAAGTACATGTAGCAAATAGTGGGGAAGTGACAAGGGACACTACAAACCAATCTACCCATTGTGACTTTTGATAATTGCCTAGGAATGATTTTACTATTTTAACTATTCTGTAAGAGAATTATCTGGGGAATGAGTTTTCCTACTAGGTGGAAAGGGGAAGGAATTTAACTGGTAGGGCCAAGGGAGGAGGCTGAGGTTAAGAAAAGGCCCTTACTTTTTAAAAAGGCGCCATCTTACCTCCCAGTGGGCTGGTCCTGTAACAGATCCAAAAGCTGAAGGATAGGTAAGTATCTCTGCTCCAGCTTGAGCCAATGCCAGAGAGAGTTCAGGGAACCGCATGTCATAGCAGACAGCTAGACCAATCTGGAATGAAAAATAGCCTACTTAGTCTTCCTGCCCTGTTCGTTACAGCATCTAGTCATACTTTCATTACCCTCCTCCTTAGGACTTTCTATTCTCTACTACCAGTTCAAAGTATTCCAGTTCCCCTCCCGCACCCTCTCACAACTCCCACCTTGCCTGCTGGTGTGCTGACAGGCGACTCAAGACTGGGCCCAGGGATGGTAGAGTTGCTTTCGCACATAGGCCCCTGCCCTGGAATCTCTACATCACATAGATGTGTCTTCCTGTAAGTGGCCACTACTGCCCCTAGAGTAAGAAGGAATATTCAGTGTCCGTGTTCTAGAAGCCTTGCTTACTCTTCCCAAGGAGTAGACAGTTTATAGGCTAGGAACAGAAGTAACACCCCTAAATCCTAGGGTCAAGGAAATAGAGTCGAGAAACAATTCTGGAGAATCTAAGTTTAGGTGGAAGAGGCAGGCTAAAGGGTTATAAAGTCTCACCTTTGCTATTCAGCAGCACATGACAATTGTAGATTTTCTGAGTCTGCTCCCAGTCTTGGCCACGCTCATGGAAGCCACCCAAGGACAGCCAGAGTCCACATTCCCTGGGGGGAGGGGACACTGACAACTCTTCACTGACTTCTCAAGGCTGTACCCTCATATTTGGCAACCTAGGGACACTGCCCAACAAAGATTCTACCTCTCCCTCCCTCATTCCCTGATACCTGGCAAGCTGGGTGTATTCTTCCAAAAGTTTCCCACCCAGTGGTTCAGACAGGCGTAGCGTCTCTGCAGGGTCCCGTGCAATGAAGTCAAATGCTTCAGGCAGGAAAGCCAGGCAGGCACCCAGTCTGGCAGCCTCTCGAACCAGCTCAGCACATGTTTTAAAGTTCTGTTGCTTGTCTGGCGTTGATGTTACCTGGCACACAGCCACGAGGGGCAGTTTGCAGGAGGAAGAGGAGGTAGCCATGGCTCTGGGCCTGTGAATAGCATAGGCAGGATTCTCAAATTTCAGTGCATAGGGAAACAAAATTAATGCTAAGGGGTGCAAGGGAGAAAAGCTGGACTTCCTTTTGATCCTGCTGTTACAGGCCACGTTGACCCTGGGCTAGTAGGGCTTACCAATCAAATGTGGATAGTTGACAGTCCTGTGTCTCCCATTATCCATTTAATAAACTGAGCATCTAAGTGCCAGGCACTGAGGACACAGCAAAACGTTTTACCTGGGCTGAGCACAAAGTACTGAGAGTCGAGGTATCCGGAGTCCGGGACACAGAAGGGACAGGAGTCGGTGAAGAGGCCTGGTGAGGAAGCCCAGCCTGAGGAAGGTGAGAAACGAGGACACCAATCCCTTCCTCAAGCAATAAATTTCTTGGATTCTCTGACTTCTCTTTATACTGTGAGCCCGAATCAGGGCCCTGCCAGTAAAAACCTTCTGGTCTTCAAAACGCTTTTTACTTCTGTAAGTAATTATGGGCTAAGGGACGAGATCCTACAGTGGAAAGATGGAGGAAGGGGCTCTGCTCGCCGCCTGAACAGATCAACTTCCAATGATCTCACATTAAACTGAAGCCCTTTTCCTCTGACAAACGTTTCCGCAGTCCAAAGTCATCTCCGGGAACTATCCTTGGTTTTCCCAAGACTCTCTTCTTGACTGTGCACTTGCACAGATTTACTGACTCAAAGCGTATTTCCCCTTTCACCAGAATCTCTCAGGAGGAAGTTCACCCTACCTCGACTCCCTCCCCTCCAAGGTGGGCAAGGGGCAAAGGAACCCAGGCCCCACGCCGCGCCCCGCTCTCCACCCCCCGCTCCAGTTGGCCCATCCCTCCCCGCCTCTCCCTGGGGCAGCATCTCTGTTGCACAGGTTAAAGCACCGCAAGTGGGATTCCCTGCGACCGACGGGATAGGGAGTAGGTCCTACATGAAGATACTGCCAAAACCATTCGCAGGATCCGAGCCGATCCGGAGGGCGGCCTGGAGCCAGAGGCGCCGGGGCGAGTGGGCGGTAACTCGCAGGCCGGACGTGACGCAAGGCGGGGGCTGAGCTGCGCCGGCCGGAAACCCAGCAGGCGACGAAGATGGCGGAGAACAGCGGTCGCTCAGGCAAGAGCAGCGGGAGCGGCGCGGGGAAGGGGGCGGTGTCCGCAGAACAGGTGAGGAGTGAAGAGCGCGAAGGAGGGTCCCCATCTGGGTCTGGAGTACTTGCGAGAAGGGGGAGCCTGTGGCTTGTGTGGGCCTTTACTCCAGTACCACATGCGCGTGGCACCCGGAGAGGGAAGGGTCCCCGGAGAAGCTAGTCGAGCCCCTTCGGAGAGGTAGACGGTTGGGCAGGTGAGAGCCACGCCTCCCTGGGGTGTTGGGTGAGCCTGGGGCAGGGGAAAGCCCTGACCTGCAGCGTCTGGGAAGATGCACAGGTCTGAGGAGCGATGGTTCGCTGCTTTCTCTATCTCTCCTCAGCACCTCCAAACAGGTTATGTCTGGGCAAGACTGCTCGAAAGTAACCCCCCCAGAGGATTAGTTAAGGGGCTGGTTTTGTAGTCTGTTACATGATCCTGAACCCACTTTGACAATCGCCGTCACGCTGCAGAGCCACGTGACTCAAATACTCGAACAGCCTAGTGTTCCATACTATATGGATTCGAGAGTTCGGTACTAGATCGAATTTCTTTAGAAACTAGAAATCCCTTTCTAATCCCAGTTTGCATTTTCCCCAGTGCCTAGCTTCGGGAAACGTTTAATAAGTTAATCACAAAGCCCTTGTGGCTTGAGAACAGTGTTTTGCCAAGTGGAAAAATAGGAGTGGGAGGAAATCTACACAATAAAAATGAAAAAACAGCTATTTTGTTTTGAGACAGAGTCTTGCTCTGTTTCCCAGGCTGGAGTGCAGTGGCGCGATCTCGGCTCACTGCAACCTCCACCTCCCGGGTTGAAGCGATTCTTCTGCCTCAGCCTCCCGAGTAGCTGGGACCACAGGCGGGGGCCATCGCGTCCGGCTAGTTTTGTATTTTTAGTGGAGACGGGGTTGCACCTTATTGTCCACGCTGGTCTCGAACTCCTGACCTCGTCATTCGCCCGCCTTGGCCTCCCAAAATGCTGGTATTACAGGCATGAGCTACCGTGCCCAGCCTACCGCTATTTTAATCATAGGTTCATTTATCAGGTTTTGTTGAACAGTTAATACAGACATAGGTATCAACATAAAGATTTTTATTTTTTGAGACAGAGTCTCGCTCTGTCGTCCAGGGAGGAGTACAGTTGCGCGATCTCGGCTCACCGGCAGCCTCCACCTCCCGGATTCAAGCAATTCTCCTGCCTTAGCCTCTCGAGTTGCTGGGATTAAAGGCACGTTGCCCCGGCTAAGTGCAGTGGCGTGATGATAGTTCTCTGCAGCCTTGAAATCCCTGGGTGATGAAGCCATCCTCCTGACTCAGCTTCCTGAGTAGCTGGGACTAATGGCATAAAACATTTTGAGTGGCTAATTAAAAAAATTTTTTTTGGTAGCGATGGGGGGAGTTTCACTTTGTTGCTCGGGCTGGTCTTGAACTCCTGGCCTCAGGTGATCCACCTGCCTTGGTCTCCCAAAGTGTTGGGATTACAGATGTGAGTCACCTTGCCCAGCTCCCCGCGATACTTTTTAAGGGTACCATGTGTCAGGTGCTCTGCTGGGTATGGCAATACAGTTACAGTAGTTCCCCCTTATCTGAGGGGGACATGTTCCAAGACCCCAGTAGATGCCTGAAACCTGGTATAGTATTGAACCCTATGTTTTTTCTCATACCTATGATAAAGTCCAATTTATGTAATAGGTACAGTAGCTAATAAAATAGAACAGTTCTAACAATATACTATAATAAAGATTACATGAATATGGTCTCTCTCTTTCAAAATATTTTATTGTACCGTACTAACCCTTCTTGTGATGATGTGAGATGAAAAAGTGCCTTCCTGATGAGATGAGATGAGGTGAATGACAGCATTGTGATGTAGCCTTAGGCCACTACTGACGATAAGTCACAAGGAGAATCATCTGCTTTAGGTGATCTCAGATCATTGAGCCGTGATGATATTGAGCAGGAGAAGTTGATGACTAAAGGGCAGGTAGCATATATAGCATGGATAGGCTGGGCAAAAGGATGATTCACATCATGAGCGGGATGGCTTGAGATTTCATCACGCTGTTTTCATAACAGCACACAACTTAAAACTTATGAATTGTTGGCCGGTTGCCATGGCTCATGCTTGTAATCCCAGCACTTTGGGAGGCCACGGTGGGCAGATCACCTGAGGTCAGGAGTTCAAGACCACCCTGGCCAACATGGTGAAACCGGGTCTCTACTAAAAATACAAAAATTAGCCAGTCCTGGTGTTGGGCACCTGTAATCCTAGCTTCTCAAAAGGCTGAGGCAGGAGAATCACTTGAACCCAGGAGATGGAGGTTGCAGTTAGCCAGGATTGCACCGTTGCACTCCAGCCTGGGCAACAGAGTGAGACTCTGTCTCAAAACAAAAAACAAAATAAACAACCTTATGAATTGTTTATTTCTGGAATTTTCCGTTTATTTTCAGACATTGGATAACTCTGGATAATGAGAGATTATTGTAAATGAAATAGACTTTGTCTTCAAATCGCTTTACTCACAGACTCATTTGAGAAAAGATGAATCAAACAATAAAGATTTATAGTGTGCTACACAATCCCTTCATTATGGCAGCTAGAGGAGAGACCCCTAACTAATCATGAGGTTGTAGGACTGTGGGCAGGAGCTGGAAAAGGGAAGCTGTGGTATAGTAGGACGGCAGAGCATTCTTATGCACTAGGGTCAGACAGACCTAAGTTTGAATTTCATTTCTACCATTTACTATTTATATATGACCTCCCCTAAGTTACATCTTGGCCTCCCCCATCTGTAGAAACGTAACAGTACCTACCTCATGACTGTATTTAGAGTATTAGGCAAGACAATACATGCAAAGTGTTTTGCACAGTGATTAGAACATAGTGTGTGTTTAGTAAATGCTTTTGTTTTCTAGAGAAAACAAATCACATGCAAAGTGTTTTGCATAGTGATTAGAATATAGTGTGTGTTTAGTAAATGCTTTTGCTTTCTAGAGAAAATCCTTCAGCTCAATTCTAAAGGATGAGAAAAGTTAGTCAAGCAAAGAAGGAAGTGGAAGATTTTCTAGGTAGAGGGAATAATGTGTTCCAAAACACTAAAGCGTGAAACTGCCTGGCATGTTTGGGATGCGGGTGGTTCTAAATGTTTGCGTTAGATTACAGAATTTGAATACGGAGAAAAGGGGATAAAAGAGGAATACAGGATGTCTCTCAGGTTTTTGTCTCTGATACTATAGGGAATGTAGGAAGACAGACAATTTTGGGAAAAATATAAATTTATTTTAGGATTTTGAGTTTAGGTTTCTTGTGGGACATCCAGGTTAAACATTCAGTAAACAGTTTGATTTTTTTTTTTTTTTTTTTTTTTTTTTTGAGATGGAGTTTCACTCTTGTTACCCAGGCTGGAGTGCAATGGCGCGATCTCGGCTTACCACAACCTCCGCCTCCTGGGTTCAGGCAATTCTCCTGCCTCAACCTCCTGAGTAGCTGGGATTACAGGCACGTGCCACCATGCCCAGCTAATGTTTTGTATTTTTAGTAGAGACGGGGTTTCACCATGTTGACCAGGATGGTCTCGATCTCTTGACCTCGTGATCCACCCGCCTCGGCCTCCCAAAGTGCTGGGATTACAGGCGTGAGCCACCGCGCCCGGCAGAACAGTTTGATTTTTAAATCTTGAGATACAGAAAGAAATCTGAGTTGGAGATACAGATTTGAGAGTTGTGTTTATGGATGATAAAGCCATGGTTGTGGTGGATGAAAATGATCATTCTTTCTAGTTTGTACAAAGAGTGACAAAATAGAACAAGGGTGGAACCACCATTTTAGTGGCGCTAAAGAGAAGCCCTCAAACTTCCCTCAAAGGAAACCAAGGAACTATGATAATTGAGTTTTGAAGCTGTTCCTTCATTAACATTCTCTGGGTTTTGTTTATTCTGGAGAGAACACTGGGTAAAACATTACAAGATATATCACTGCTGCAAATTTGAGCCATGTATGTCCCTTACATACAAGATGGAAGCAAGTAACACATTGTGTTAGGCACTTTACTTGTTTTACCTTCTGTTACTGATTGAGACAGGGTCTCATTCTGTTGCCAAGGCTGGAGTGCAGTGGTGTGATCACGGCTTACTGCAGCCTCAACCTCCTGAGGCTCAGGTGATCCTCCTACCTCAGCCTCCCAAGTTACTGGGACTACAGGGGTGTGGCACCCTATCCAGCTAATTTTTGTATTTCTTGTAGAGATGGAGTTTTGCCATGTTGCCCAGGTTGGTCTTGAACTCCTGGGCTCAAGCAGTCCACCTGCCTCGACTTCCCAGAGTGCTAGGATTACAGGTGTGAGCTGAGCCACTGCTCAGGCCTACCTTCTGTTATTTAATTACTGACATTTGAAGAAGGTTGTATTGTCCTCCATTTATAGGTGAGGATATTTGAATTTCAGAAGCTTTAGTTAACTTGCCCAAAGTCAGTAACTGGAAGAGCAGGATTTTTAAATGAAGAACTTAAGAATCAGGCGGACCTATTTTTTCCACTTATAGCATGATTATATTAAGAGATATTTGAGCCGAAACCTGAAGGAGTGGATGGCTTTGAACAGGTGACAGTGAGAATAGAAAATAGGGAATATGATAAGAGGAGAGTAGTTGAGTAAAGCCATAGAGGTATTTGAGTGCATGACAAAAAATTTGTGACTTTTTTACATAAGCAGTGAGGAAGTCACAGAAGGATATATAGTATTAATTATTTAACTCTTATATAAAATGTTTATTGTTGGAACTATAGAAAACACAGGAAAAAGTTCAAACCAGGAAGTAAATTGCCCATAATCCAGCCATCCAGAGATAATTATTCTTGCCATTTTGGAGTATATCCTTTGAGAGATTTTCCCCCTTCCTTTATCTTTTTTGTCATGCATTTTTTTTTTTTTGAGGCAGAGTTTCGCTCCTGTTGCCCAGCTGGAGTGCAATGATGTGATCTTGGCTCACTGCAACCTTTGCCTCCTGCGTTCAGGCAATTCTCCTGCCTCAGCCTCTGGAGTAGCCTGGATTACAGGCAGTTGCCACCACACCTAGCTGATTTTTGTATTTTTAGTAGAGATGGGGTTTTGCCATGTTGGCCAGGCTGGTCTTGAACTCCTGATCTTAGGTGATCTGCCTCTCTTGGCCTCCCAAAGTGCTGGGATTACAGGCGTGAGCCACCGCGCCCAGCTAATTTTTTGTATTTTTAGTGGAGATGGGGTTTCACCATATTGGCTAGGCTGGTCTTGAACTCCTGAGCTCAAGTGATTTACCTGCCTCAGCCTCCCAAGGTGCTGGGATTACAGGTGTGAGCTACTGTGTCCTGCCCACACTGTTATTTTGTTTTGTTTTGTGTTTTTGAGACACAGTGCAAAAACATTACACTCTAGTCTGGGAAACAGAGCAAGACTCCTCTCAAAAAAAAAAAAAAAGGAAGGGCCGGGCGCCGTGGTTCAAGCCTGTAATCCCAGCACTTTGGGAGGCTGAGGTCGGCAGATCATGAAGTCAAGAGATCGAGACCATCCTGGCCAACAAGGTGAAACCCCGTCTCTACTGAAAATACAAAAATTAGCTGGGCGTGGTGGCATGTGCCTGTAGTCCCAGCTACTCGGGAGGCTGAGGCAGGAGAATTGCCTGAACCCGGGAGGCGGAGGTTGCAGTGAGCCAAGATTATGCCACTGCACTCCAGCCTGGCACCTGGCGACAGAGTGAGACTCTGTCTCAAAAAAAAAAAAAAAAAAAAAAAAGGGGAAGACTGTTGCAGTAGCTCAGATAAGAGGGTAATGAAGATCTGAACTAGGGTGATGTCAGTGAGCCTAAGAAAAATTGCTGAAGTAAGTGCAATACATTTGGCAGTTGATGGGATTATGGTAAGTTCAAAGATGAACCTGGGTATGGTGGCAAGTGCCTGTAGTCTCACCTACTCAGGAAGCTGAGACAGGAATATCACTTGGGGCTGGAAGCTTGAAGCTATAGTATGCTATAATTATGCCTGTGAATAGCCCCTGCTCACCAGTCTGAGCAGCATAGGGAGACCCCATCTTTAAAAACAAAACAAAAGATGAAACTAGGGTTTCCTACCAGGTGGGCTAGAGTCGTATCAGTAGCAGAAATAGAAATCAGAAGATCACTTCAGCTTTGAATGATATGAGTTTAAGGTATCCATGGGACATTTAGGTGGAGATGACCTGTAATGATAGCAGCTACTATTTATTGAAAACCTGTTATATGATAGATACTGTCCTAAGTTCTTGATGTAATTACTTAATCCTTATGGCATTCTGTGAGGCAGTTATTATCTGTATTTTATTGGTGAAGAAACAGAAAAGAAATAACTTGTCATGATCAGACTTTGAGCCATTTCTGTCAGACACAAAAAAGCTCCTTCCTCTGACTTGTAAATATGCAGGACTAGAATTTCTGAAAAGGCCTGGTTTTGCAGGCAATTAGAAAAGGCAATTGTTGGAACTATAGAAGTAGCTAAGAATGCCACTTAAAATAGTATAGGTTACCCTGATTTGATTATATGAATGTATCAAATTATCACGTATACCATGAAAATGTGAATGATTATGAATAAATAAAAATAATTTCAAAAATAATATAGGTGATGAAGAAGTACTATGAATAGAATCTTAGGTCATGTCTCCCTTGTAGGAGTGAAAGAGGAAAAACTTTCAGAAAAGAGAAAGGAGGCCTGAGATAGGAAGGAGAACTGAAGGGACCTGGAAACAAAAGGGGCGCTGAAGGTGTACATTGTATCGGGCACTTGACCTATTGTCTCAGTTTAGTTCTCATTGCTACCCTATAGCAGTGGCTCCCAACTGGCATGATTTTTTCCTAGGAGACATTTGGCAATGTCTGGAGGCACTTTTGGTTGTCACATGTAAAAGGGGTTACTACTGGCTTTTCGTGGGTACAGTCCAGGATGTTGTTAAACGTCCTATAGTGCCTGAGACAGCCCTCATAGCAAAGAAGGATTTGGCCTAACATGTCAGTAGTGACAATGTTGAGAAACCCTGTGGTATATTAGGTCCATTTTACAAATGAGGAAACAAGAAAAGTTAAGTAACTCAGTCATATAGCAAGTAAATGGCAAAACTGGGATTTCAACCCAGATCAGAATCGAAAGTTTGGGTTCTTTTCACTTTACTATGTTGCCACTTGGATCCCAGTACTTGGGGAGGCTGAGGCAGGAGGATCGTTTGAAGCCACGAGTTTAAAACCAGCCTGGGCAACATAGTAAGACCTCTATCTCTACAAAGAAATAAACAAAAATTTCATGAAAAGAAGGGATGAGTACTATTATTTGATGGAGTAATAAGGTCAAAAAAGTTTTCTTTGACAGAGAGTTGAGTGTGTTCATCAGAAAAGGGGGCACTGAACTGAAAAGAAGGTAATTTGTGGAGCAGTATTCCAGATCATGCTTTTCCAGGTGCATCCGATCATAATTCTCTACCTCTTCTATTCTTCCATTGAACCCAGTAAGAGTAAATGTCATGTCAGAAGACCCAAGGACATTTTGGAGAGAAAGGTAATGATTATAGATTTTTTTCCTAAAATTGTCAAAACTTTATGGTAAAAAGGAAAACAGGAATAGAAATCAAATGGAAATAAATTTGCTTTTATAAGAAATTAATATATGAGGCCGGGCGTGGTGGCTCACGGCTGTAATCCCAGCACTTTGGGAGGCTGAGGTGGGTGGATTGCCTGAGGTCAGGAGTCCAAGACCATCCTGGCCAACGTGGTGAAACCCCGTCTCTACTATAAATAGAAAAAAATTAGCTGGGCCTGGTGGTATACACCTGTAATCCCAGCTACTTGGGAGGCTGAGGCAGGAGAATTGCTTGAACCAGGGAGGTGGAGGTTGCAGTGAGCGGAGATAATGCCATTGCACTCTAGCCAGGGCAACAGAGCGAGACTCTGTCTCAAAAAAAGAAAAAAAAAGAAACGAATATATGATGAGCTGGGAATAATATATTAACAGAGATAGATTTTTAGAGTTAGACAAACCTGGGTACAGGTCTGATTTCTGCAACACTAGGTTATTTTACTTTTTTATTTTATTTTTTATTTTTTTTTTGAGACGGAGTTTCGCTCTTGTTACCCAGGCTGGAGTGCAATGGCGTGATCTCGGCTCACCGCAACCTCTGCCTTCTGGGTTCAGGCAATTCTCCTGCCTCAGCCTCCTGAGTAGCTGGGACTACAGGCACGCGCCACCATGCCCAGCTAATTTTTTGTAGTTTTAGTAGAGACAGCGTTTCACCATGTTGACCAGGATGGTCTTGATCTCTTGACCTCGTGATCCACCCGCCTCGGCCTCCCAAAGTGCTGGGATTACAGGCTTGAGCCACCGTGCCCGGCTACTTTTTTATTTTTTGAGATGGAGCCTTGCTCTGTCACCCAGGCTGGAGTGCAGTGGCGTGATAGGCTCACTGCAACCCCTTCCTCCCAGGTGCAAGCAGTTCTTCTGCCTCAGCCTCCCAAGTAGCTGGGACTACAGGCAAGAGCCACCATGCCTGGCTAATTTTTTGTATTTTTAGTAGGGATGGGGTTTCACCGTGTTGGTCAGGCTGGTCTCGAACTCCTGAGCTCAAGTGATCTGCCTGCCTCAGCCTCCCAAGGCTCTGGGATTACAGGTGTGAGCTACTGCACCCAGCCCACATTATTTTATTTGTTTTTTTTTGTGTGTGTGTTTTTGAGACACAGTCTTCTTCTGTCACCCAGGCTGGAGTGCAATGGCATGATCTGGGCCCACTGCAACCTCTGCCTCCCAGGTTCAAGCGATTCTCCTGCCTCAGCCTCCCAAGTAACTGGGATTACAGGCACACACCACCATGCCTGGGTAATTTTTATATTTTTATTAGGGACAGGGTTTGACCACGTTGGCCAGGCTGGTCTCGAACTCCTGAGCTCAAGTGATCAGCCCACCTCGGCCTCTTAAAGTGCTGGGATTACAGACATGAGCCACCACACCTGGTCCCACACTGTTATTTTAACTACCACCCAACACCCCACCAGTCTTGGTCTCCTCATTTACAAATTGAAGGTACAGGTCTTTTTTGTTTGTTTGTTTGTTTGTTTTATGAAGGTATAGGTCTTACAGTCTTTTTTGTTTTTTAGAATTAAGTCAGAGAGTATAGCACAGTGCCTGGCATATAGTAGGTGTTCCTTTACTGTTGAGACTGTGGAAGGCAAATTATAGTAGGACTATGAAAGAAACGGATATTTTAAAATAGGTTGCCTTTGCATATTTAAAATTTTAAAAGAAGATAAAGAATAGAAGGCAGTCTCAGTTGGATGTGACAGTTAAGGCAAAAGAAGAAAAAAAGAAGGCAGTCTATATGGTGGAAAATAACACAATATAAATAGAAAAGATTTTGTCAGTTTAACTAATATGGATTTATATGTGAGCACATAGAAAGGGTTAACATATGGGAGTGGAAGATGGCCAGATTCTTCTGCTTCCCGGAAGAATCTAAGTTGAAACCTGAAGACAGAATTAGACAGGCAGAGAAAAACTGAATGAGAGAAGTTTGGGGAACCATAGCAGGTAGGGTGAAGATTCTATGCAGATGCCTGAAGACAGCATTAAGGGAAACTACCAGTGACCTAGGACATTGAGTGCTGACTTAAGATGTGGAGGGGGCTGGGCACAGTGGCTCACACGTGTAATCCCAGCACTTTGGGAGGCTGAGGCAGGGGGATCATGAGGTCAAGAGTTTGAGGCCAGCCTGGCCAACATGGTGAAACCCCATCTCTACTAAAAATACAAAAAATTAGCCGAGTGTAGTGGTATGTGCCTGTAATCCCAGTACTTGGGAGGCTGAGGCAGGAGAATCACTTGAACCTAAGAGGCAGAGGTTGCAGTGAGCCAAGATCGTGCCACGGCACTCCAGCCTGGGTGACAGCAAGACCCCATCTTGGGGGTGGGGCTGGGCAGAAAGATGTGGAAGGAATGACTGGGAGAGGTAAGCTGGAACCGGTCTTTATGGGACTTTTGAGGAGTTTGGATTTTATCCTGTGAGCATCGGAAGGTTTTACGCATAGGAATAATTGGTTAGATTTATATTTTTGGTTACTTATGCTGCAGTGTGGGGAGTGGATTAAAGGGGGCAAATCAGGAGGCAGTATAGAAATCAGAAGGGTATGGCAGTACAGATGTAATTAATTTGATGTGGATAGTAAATCAAGGATGATTCCAAGGTTTCTGGAGTTACTTTTAGAGTAACTCCAGAATTTTCAGAGTTTCCAACTCTAAAAATTATTAACAAAAATAAGATAAAAAGGAAAAACAAATATACCTGAATTGAACCTTAGGAAGACTGAAAGAATAAAAAAAAGATAAAAAAAAATAATAAAAGCTACCATTAGGGCTCTGGGGAAAGGGAGATAATCATGATATTGCTGGTAGCAATATAAATTCATCTGGTCATCTTGGAGAGCTTTCTAGTGACATGCAATAGAAGCTATAATAATGCTAATGCCCTTTTGACTCATTGATCTTACTTTTGAATATGATTCAAGAAATTCAAGAAAAATGGCTGTAAATTGCGTACTGTTTGTCCAAAGTGTTTTGTTTGAGAAGTAGTCTCACTCTATTGCCCAGGCTGGAGTGCAGTGGTATGATCTCAGTTCACTGCAACCTCCACCTCCTGGGTTCAAGTGATACTCCTGCTTCAGCCTGCTGAGTAGCTGGGATTACAGGCATGTGCCACCTTGCCCAGCTAATTTTTTTGGTATTTTCTTTAGTAGAGACAGGGTTTCACCATGTTGGCCAGGTTGGTCTCGAACTCCTGACCTTAAATGATCCGCTGGCCTTGGCCTCCCAAAGTGGTGGGATGATAGGGGTGATCCACTACACCTAGCTTTTTTTTTTTTTCCTTTTTGAGACGGAGTTTCACTATCGTTGACCAGGCTGGAGTGCAGTGGAGCAATCTCAGCTCACTGCAACCTCCGCCTCACGGGTTCAAGCAATTCTCCTGATTCGGTCTCCCCAAGTAGCTGGGATTATAGGTATGCACCTCCACGCCTGACTAATTTTGTATTTTTAGTAGAGACAGGGCTCCTCCATGTTGGTCAGGCTGGTCTCGAACGCCTGACCTCAGGTGATCTGCCCTCCTTGCCTCCCAAAGTGCTGGGATTATAGGCGTGAACCACCATACTCAGCCTTTAAAAAATTTTTTTATTTCGAGATAGGGTCTCACTCTGTTGCCTAGGCTGGAGTGCAGTGGTGTGATCTTGGCTCACTGCAACCTCCGCCTCCTGGGTTCAAGTGTTCTGCTGCCTCAGCCTCCTGAGTAGCTGGGATTACAGGCACCCGCCACCATGCTCAGCTAATTTTTTTCTATTTTTAGTAAAGATGGGGTTTCACTGTGTTGGTCAGGCTAGTCTCGAACTCCTGACCTTGTGATCCTCCTGCCTTGGCCTCCCAAAGTGCTGGGATTATAGGCGTGAGCAGCTGTGCCTGGCCTAATTTTTGTATTTCTAGTAGAGACAGGGCTTCACCATGTTGGCCAGGCTGGTCTTGAACTCCTAACCTCCAGTCATCCGCTTTGGCCTGCCAAAGTGCTGGGATTACAGGCATGAGCCACCATGCTGGCCTATCCAAAGACATTTTATATCAGTACTATTTATCACAGAAAAACTGGAAACAACCTAAATGTTCCAACAACAATGGATTAGTTAAGCACAGTTTTTAAAATGTATCAATATTCCTATAATCCTAGCACTTTGGGAGGCTGGGGTAGGAGGATCACTTGAGCTCAGGAGTTCAAGACCAGGCTGGGCAACAAAAAGTACAAAAATTAGCCGGGCATGGTTGCACATGCCTGGTTCCATCACTCAAGAGGCTGAGGTGGGAGGATCACTTCAGCTCAAGAATTCAAGGCTGTAGTGAGCCATGATTGTGCCATTGCACTCCAGCCTAGGGAACAGAGTGAGACCCCAACACTACAATAAGTTTAAAAATTTAGACAGAAGTGGTGATGGGTGCCTGTAGTCCCAACTACTGTAGAAGCTGAGGCCAGAGGATCACTTGAGCCTAGGAGTTCAAGGCTGCAGTGAGCCTTGATTCCACCACTGTACTCCGTCCTGGGCAACAGAGTAAGACCCTGTCTGAAAAAAAAGAAAAGAAAAAAACTTTGTATATAGATGATGATTTAATAGGGTTGAGAGAAGCAACACTGACCTGTCAATCTGCTTACACCAGACAACTGAAAAGAGAATAAGGAAATATAATTAGGTCCTAGCTGTAGGGGAGAAGACTATTAGAAAAGTTGTGTTTTTCTGAACACTGCACTGGCCTTAAATTTAAAAAAAAAAAAGAAAAGAAAAAAGTTGTGTTTTAAGAGGAAGAATGTGGGAATAGAGCGTAGCCTTTTTCTTCATTACCTGGCAGACCCCAGAAATGACTTAATACTGGCTTCTTTTGCACATAGCCTACAGTTAATTGCAGTTAGCTGCTGTATTAGGCCATTCTTGTGTTGCTATAAATACCTGAGACTGGGTAATTTATAAGAAAAGTGGTTTAATTGGCTCATGGTTCTGTAGTCTATACAGGAAGCATGGCAACTGCTTCTGGGGCGGCCACAGGAAGCTTCCAGTCATGGCAAAAGGCAAAGGAAGGGCAGCTGTCTCATGGTGGGAACAGGAGGAATAAATGGGGGTAGGTGTCACACTTTTAAACAACCAGATCTTGTGTGAACTCAGACCAATAACTCACTTATCATCCAGGGGATGGCAACCAAGCTATTCATGAGAGATCTACCCCCATGATCCAAACACCTCCCACCAGCCCCCACCTCCAACATAGGGGATTATATTTCAATATGAAACTTAGAGGGGACACATAAACTATATCAACTGCTAAGAGATATTTCCTTTAAGTGCATTTATGGCTGAAATTTTTCATAATAACTCTGGATAACTCACATGTTTAAATAGATTTTAGTTTGGTTTTTGATTAAAAGTTCATAAAATGAAATGAGGAAATTAGTTATTAGCAAGAATGTTGAAGAAAAGTTGGAATGAAAAAATCTCAGCCAGGCATGGTGGCTCATGCCTGTAATCCCAGCACTTTGGGAGGCTGAGGCAGGTGTATCACCTGAGGTCAGGAGTTCGAGACTAGCCTGGCAAACATGGTGAAACCCCATCTCTACTAAAAATACAAAATTAGCTCAGCATGGTGGTGGGCACCTGTAGTCCCAGCTATTTAGGAGGCTGAAGCAGAATTGCCTGAACCCAGTAGGTGGCGACAGAGCGAGACCCTGTCTCAAAAAAAAAAAAAAAAAAAAAAAGAAAGAAAAGTAGATTCGTATTAATCGAGGAAAATAAATTCTGCTGGGCATGGTGGCTCCTGCCTATAATCCCAGCTGTTTGGGAAGCTGAAATGGGAGGATTGCTTGAGGCCAGAAGTTCAAGATCAGTCTGAGCAACATGGCAGGACCCCAACTCAAAAAAAAAAAAAAAAAAAAAAAAAAAATAGCTGCTGTGGTGGCACATGTCTGTAGTCCCAGCTACTCAGGAGACTGAGGCAGAAGGATCACTTGAGCCCAGGAGTTAAAAGTTGGGGCATCAGAAATTTTAGATACTTAAACTGATTTCCTTAATGTATTTAACAACATACATCCAGAAAAGTGGATTATTTGGGTGCTAAGGGAACATCTAGAATCTGCTTTAGTTGTAGTTTTTTTAGATGAAATTTTTTTGATCTGGAATATTAACAGTAGATAAAAAGCTAATATAAATGGGGAATGGTTTTGAGACAGGCAATGAAGGTAAAGGAAAAACAGTCTGTAGATAGATTTTTCAAAGCATTTGTTGTAATGAATGGATAAAGTAGATTGAGATGAAGGGATGACAGATGGGAGAAAGGAGGAAGTTGCTGGAATGACAAGTTCTTGGTCAAGTTTTATTCCTTGGTTTATTGGCAGTAGAAAGAATATAGGGGTGGTACAGGTCAGCCATTTGGATAATATTTGCTGTATATGATCCTTGAAGAGGATCCTTGAAGAGCTAGAGATAAGGGGCCAGGCCAGGCATGGTGGCTCATGCCTGTAATCCCAGCACTTTGGGAGGCTGAGGCAGGCAGAGCGCTTGAGCCCAGGAGTGTGAGACCAGCCTTGGTGACATAGTAAGACTGTATCTCTACAAAAATATTAGGTGGTATGCACCTGTGGTCCCAGCTGCTTGGGAGGCTGAGGCAGGAAGATCACCAGAGCCCAGGGAGATTGAGGCTACAGTGAGCTGTGACTGTGCCATTGCACTCCAGCCTGGGTGATAGAGTGAGACCTTTCTCAAAAAAAAAAAAAAAAAAAAAAAAGGAAAAAAGAGATAAGGGCACTAGTAAAGATGAATTGGTTAATCATCTTTACTAGGGCAAAGTTTCTGGCGGTGTGACTGGAGATGATATTTATAAATACGAGTAAGAGATTTGGTAATGGTTTGATTGGATTGGGTCCACTGTTGTCAGATGACCAGGAGAGCTTAAGGGGGCAGTTCTGGACTTGGAGAGAAGGCCATGATAGTATTAATATCTTCACTGTTCACAAAGACATTTCACACTCATTGGTTCACATGATACAACAACCTTATGAAGTGGGTATCATTATCTGCATTTTGCAGGTAAGAAAATTATGGGACAAAGGGGTTAACCCAATAGTTCTCAGTTCACACTGCACATTAGAATTATGTGGGAGATCTAAAAATACTGAGGCCTGGGCCTTACCCCCAGTGGTTGTATAGTAGTTCTGAGGCTCCACTATTCATGTTTTTAAAATGATTCAGGTGATTCTAACATATAGCCATGGTTAAGAACCATAGGGTTAAATGTCTGTCCCAGACTATAGAGCCAAAAAAGTAGCAAAGGCAGAACCTGAAACTTGGTCTTGGTCTCTGAGCCTCATATTTTTCATTTTTTTCCAAACACCCTCCCTTCCCCTCTGATTTTTCAGGCTTCATTTAAGACAATTATCTGTCAGGAAGCCTGTATCAGTTAGGGTTTATGGGCTATAGAAGCCATCTCTGGTCAACTTTCTTCTTTTCTTTTTTTTTTTTTGAGATGGAGTCTCGCTCTGTCCCCAGCCTGGAGTGCAGTGCTGTGATCTTGGCCTACTGCAACCTCTGCCTTCCAGGTTCAAGCGATTCCCCTGCCTCGCCTCCTGAGTAGTTGGGACTATAGGCGCGTGCCACCATGCCTGGCTAATTTTTTGTATTGGTAGAGACAGGGTTTCACCATGTTGGGCAGGATGGTCTCAATCTCCTGACCTTGTGATTCACCCACCTTAGCCTCCCAAAGTGCTGGGATTATAGGCATGAGCCATCATGCCCGCCCAGCCCCCCCTTTTTTTTTTTAAGGACTATTTTTGGATGATAGTGGGTATTTCACAGAATTGCACACCAAAAAAAGGCTAAATAACTAGACTGAATAAAGTTCAAGAACTGGGGCAGCTTTAAGGAATCTAGGAATGGGAATGGAAAGTCATCTCTATAGCACCAATAAGAATGCTAACTCCAGCTGCCTTCTATTATACTCGTCTGTCTGTCCACAGAATTCCAATTCCTGTAGAGAGACTTTGTACGTCACTGACCCTGGGTAGGGGTCCTGTGGTTAGTAGCCCCAAAAGAAGCATACCAAGTTAAGGAGTGGCGGTTCACCAATAGTTAGGCTACTGAGCAGACCCAAACAAGGGTTTCTCATTACAAAGCTTTTCCCGACAGCCCTGTCTGCAAGTCTAGGCTCCCCTGTAGGTACTCCAGTAGCTCTCCACCCCTATTCTTATATTAAATGCCTATTTCCTATCAAACTATAAGCTACAAGGAGCCAGAGGCCAAATCTGTTCTGTGATATCCCTCAGTAGACCCTCACCTATCTCAAAAATAGTAGGTCCTCCGTGCTTGGTGAATGGAATTCCAGAAGAATTTTAGGTAGAAATCACTTGTGGTTCTATTCCTTTTCCAAGGTAGGTGCCCACTACTGCACCTTTGGAAAGCCTGCCACCCTATGTGCTATCTGGACCCTTTGCCATTTCCACTGTCCCCTCTTTCATCTCTTCTCTCACCTTAGGTAATTGCTGGCTTTAACCGCCTTCGGCAGGAACAGCGGGGCCTGGCATCCAAAGCAGCTGAGTTGGAGATGGAGTTGAATGAGCACAGGTGAGAAAGTCAGGGAGAGGCAAACAGTAGGACAGTTGTATGGGCTACTCCGTGAGGGGGATTTGTGGTAGAGTGAGGCTGAATCCTCAGGTTCTGCCTTGTTCTCCTATCCCAGCCTAGTGATCGATACACTGAAGGAGGTAGATGAAACTCGTAAGTGCTACCGCATGGTTGGAGGAGTGCTGGTGGAGCGAACTGTCAAAGAGGTGCTTCCTGCTTTGGAGAACAACAAGGAGCAGGTGAGCAAGAATCTTTGAATAGGATCAGGTGCAGTGGCTGTAAACCCAGCACTTTCGGAGGCCAAGGGGGTGGGTGGACTGCATGAGTCCAGGAGTTCGAGACCAGCCTGGGCAACATGGCGAAGCCACATCATTACAAAAAATTAGCTGGGCATGGTGGCATGTGACTGTAGTCCCAGCTACTCACCTGAGCCCAAGAGGTTGAGGCTTCAATTAGCTGTGATCACCTCACTGCACTCCAGCCTGGGTGACAGAGTGAGACACTGTCGCGCAAAAAAAAAAAAAAAAAAAAAAAAAAGTGTAAAATAGCCTGTTAGCCTATGTTCATTATGCTATGCTAAGTCCAACTCTTAGACAAGAGGAATCGCTGGCTGCCGTGGGCTCTGTGACCTGGCTGAATTGGGGTGGGATGATTGGGGTTAATATTTCTCACTGTGTGGTCTAGGGATACATCCATCAAAATTACCTGAAGGAGTAATTTATAAATTCAGCTTCCTGGACCCACTGGATCAGAACCTTTGGGAGTGCCATGAAGTGACATTTTAAAAATAAGCTCATGCCTGTATTCCCAGTGCTTTGGGAGGCCGAGGCAGGAGTTTGAGACCAGCCTGGACAACATAGCGGAAACTTGTCTCTATAAAAAATAAAAATAGGCTGGGCACAGTGGCTCATGCTTGTAATCCCAGCACTTTGGGAGCCAAGGCGGGTGGATTACCTGAGGTCAGGAGTTTAAGACTAGCCTGGCCAATATGGTGAAACC